TGGTGCTCAGGAAGCTTCATATTTTTAAAGCATTTTGAATTTTGGATTTTCAGGTTATGAAGGCTCATCCTGTAACCATTGAAGGGAGCAGAGAAGTCATGAGCCTGATTGTGATTTCAGACTTGTGATTGGAACAGAGCCTTGAGCAGGCAGCTGTGTAATATACAGATTTGGACTTCAGCCATCTGGGGCTGATACTCAAGAGTCAGAGGACTGAGGTACTCCAGGAGGGAACTATAAATAGATCCCCAGGATAAAATGAGGCAGGGAGATGAAACTTAGTTCTTCATACTTTTTTCCCTCCCTCCCTCTTTCTGTCATCCCTTCTCTTCTTTTGTTAGGGGTGTATTTAATTTGGACCAGTTGGTTTATTCTAAGTTATTGTTGAACAAACAAAGCAGGCAGTGGTCTGGAAATGGGGACATTGCTTTGTTCAGTGGACAAAGGATACATTTTGCTCTGGGAGAGGTCACTGTGTTTCAGAGTACTTTGAAAATCTCGGAGTGATGCACTAGTTATAATACATCATTCTTGCCTGGCCATAGAAGCAAGATTTCTAAGAACTTCTGTCAAACATTTTATTAGCCTAGTTCAGATTACCATGTCTACTTGAAAGTGGTATATTTATCTTTTAGCATTTGGAGCTGCTTTTACATTTTCTTTTAATTCATAGACATTTATGACTTTTCTGTCCTGTGTTCCCAAATTTGGGTATACTCTGATCGTAGGCTCATTTTCATCATGTATAGAGTACCTACTAGTTCTCAAGGGATTGAATTTGCCCCCCTTCTGTCCTTAGACCAACTTGAGTATTGTTTTTTTAATTTCCTTTGACAAGGGGGCATCACTGACATCTAGTGGGTATGGGTGAAGTTGTCCAAGTCTTAGGTCAGTCCTTTATATCATGTTGTCAGTTTCACCCCCAGTATTGAGGAACACAAATAGAACAAGTCTGATTGGTGTGATCATGTTCTATGTTTCATACCAAACCTGAACAAAAGTTGAAGTTTTCATTAATAATAATAATAATAATAAGTTTTCAATAATAATAATAATAATAATAATAATAATAATAAGCACTTTCTGGGGTACTTCATGGGTTACCTTTGACTTTGATTAATAAAGAGTTCAGACTTTTTCAGAGCTTTTGTTGAACAGTTTCTATAACTTTTTGGTGACTTGAGTATATTTAGTATAGAGATGGTAGGGGGTTTCTTTCTTTCTTTTATTTTCTTCTTCGTGTGCTAGGTATTGAACCCAAGGCTTCATACTTGCTAACCATGCACTCACTGTACCATGGAGGTACACTCCTAGCTTTTCTTTTTCTTTTTTTGTATAGGATGGTTTAGATTAGCTATTCTCAGTCATGGCTACATATTGGGATTTTCCAGGGAGCTTTGAAAAATATTGGTGTTGGGCTGGGGTTGTGGCTCAGTGGTAGAATGCTTGCCTATCATGTACAAGGTACTGGGTTCGATCCTCAGCACCACATAAATGTAACATAAGATACTGTGTCCACCTAAAACTTTTTAAGAATAAATATTAAAAAAAAATACTGGTGTGGTTGGGTTTTATTCAATTGTTCTAGTATGTGATATTGGAATTTTAATCCCCCAGGTGGTTGTAATGCACAGGTAGGATTGAAAATTACTAATCTAGATATTCTAGAAATTCTGCAAAGAGAGTGATATGGATGTAGATGATGAATTGATCAAAATGAAATAACTTTTCATTTATGCACAAAACATTGAGTGCCTAGGATTAAAATGATTAAGCAAACCCACTCCGAGCCTAGTGGAACTCATACCTTTGGCTTTCAGTTTTCACTTTAAAGCCCTGATTCTGGAAAAGACATACTGGAGAGTTGGTTCAGCCATAACACCTCTTTCTAGAGTCTTCCCAAGGACTGGGAACATCTGGTTGACAGGGCATGACCTGTTGGAAGGAAGTTGAATCTGAAATGAGGTAGACATTGAACAAAATGGCAAGTTCCCCATAGTGCCCTTCCTGGAGGAAGCAACACTAAGACACCAATAGGGACCAGGCAGCTTCAAAAATGCACTGGGTATGTGGTGAATGAAGAACTTTTTGTCAGAAATACATTGAGATTTGGCCAGTTTTTACTGAACTGAGAATGAGGAGTATAAGTGTAGAAACAAGTAACTCGTTAATTAGCTTTCTTTTGTACCACTTTGTCTTCAGTTTGAAACCTGGCTGGAAGACTCCCTTTAGCTCGCTCAATGGTCCCTTTCTAGTAATTGTGCCAGTGAGAAAAAGGGGATGGCTGCCATGCTGGGCTTGGCCAGCATTCAAGGCCTTTGCATGGATCAAAGGCATCCCCTTTCTCTGGCCTAAGGGATGGAATCCTCTCCCCAAGTCTACCCCTAGGACAGGCTCCTTGTCAACTTCACAGCCTGGTAAGTCCCATGCAGGGTGGTCTTGCCTGGATTTTCCCTTTCACCAGTAGGGGGATTTGTGTTCTGTTTGGTAATTCATAACGTGCCAACACAAACCAGTCTTGAGGCCATTTACCAGGAGGGATGATTTGTTTTATACACTTCCAAAACAGAAAACATCTGGTTTAGCTGGGGAGTGATCACATAATTACACAGTGGCTTTCACATTTAGGGTCATTCTACTGGGCTAGGTGTACCTTTTCTTGCTGCCCTATACTCAGCTCAGACACCTGTATGGTAGGTTGCCTTACCAGGCTTCACTGACAACACAAACCAAAACGAACATGTTTATTTCATTTTATCAAGTTTGAAAGAGGGTTTTTTTTTTTTTAATTTTTATTTTATTTTATTTTACTTTTTTAGGAAAGTGAAATTCAGTCTTAAATGCTGCATTCTGGAGATATAATTCAGACCTTCCCTTTTAATTTCCTGAAACCAATTTCAGAGGAGCTAAGTGAGCTAGATTATTTTCTGCCAAATGAGTTTCCCAAAGGCACAGTTTTGCTAGAAATGGATGAGAATTCAATGATTCATTGGACCACCACTCATGTGTAGATGCTTAAGTTGTGATGGGTAAGAGATATGAGTTCTGTGCTGACAGTCTATCCCTGATGTGGGGCCTTTTTCCTGAAAGTGGCCTCAGTTCGTTTGTTTTGACTATTATACCATTTGCTCCTCTTTCTTCCTGTGTCTTCTCCTTTTCTGTCTCTCATAAAGACATTCGTCACCCACCATCCTGACACTATCTGGCCCTACCCCAGGCTGCTCCTCTCTATGGTTTTAGCTATGTTCTGGCTTTGGTACTGTATTCTGAGAGGAGGAAACTCCTAGATCTCAGGGTGTGTAAAGTTCCTCTGCATTCTCTCTCCTTCCTGTCAAACAATTGCTGGTGCTGCACAGGTCTCAGGGTTGTGAGCCCGTTACCCACTCCTGTTTTGGGGAGCTTGGGAGGCATATTCTGTCATCTAGTTTTGTTTTAAATGTTTGTTATTTTTGGTTTTGCTATCCTAATTGCTATCTTTGGCAATTCAGAAGATTTAATAATTATGGTTTCACTACTATTTTTGCTATTGTTTGTTGAACAAAGTTGAAAATACAGATTTTTGAGCTGGGTGTGGTGGTGCACTCCTGTAAACCCAGCTACTTGGGAGGCTGAGATGGGAGGAATGTGAATTTGAGGCCAGTCCAGGCAATATAGTGAGACCCTGTCTTAAAGAAAAAGACAAACAATTTTTAGTACATATAGAGTTTGCTTAGAGCTGCTATAACAAAGTACTGTAAATTCAATGGCTTAAAACAATAGAAATTTTTTCTTTCAGTTCTGGAGGCCAGAAATTGGAGATCAAGGTGTGGGGCAGGGCCATGCTTTTCCTGAAGGTCCTAGGGGAGAATCCTTTTTAGCATCTTCTTACTTCTTATGGCTCTTGGCTTTCCTGGACTGTGGTCTTTATCACTGCAATCTCTGCTTCCTCTTCATATCGCCTGCCTTCCTTTTCCCCTGTGTCTTTTCTTCTGTCTCTTTTGGCACAGAGCTCTACTTTGGGGGACAGGGTATGAAATGGGGCAGGGTTGGAGGGAGGGAATACCTACAACCCAGCAGTCTATCCCATATGGAATTGTTCAGTGTTTACTGTTCAGAACTATATTAGTGAGCATAAAAGTTTCATTTCTGTTTTTCAGTTATATAAGCAACACCTGGGAAATAAAATTGGAAAATTTCAAGTCATTGATAATACCCATCAACAGCAGATGGGCATCCTCTTTCTGGCTATGTTTCCTTATTAATTCATTTAACCTGAAGTGGGAGCTCCTCTCTATATTTGATTTCTGGTTATGCTGAATATTTTGTTATGCTATCTCTAGTTAGGTTGAATATCTTTCTGTATCCTTGACAAAGTTCTTGGTGGTCATCTTTTGTGATCTTCTTAGGTAACCAGGCATTCCGTGTAGCCTTTCCTCACAGGGTGGAGAACATTTCTAGCTCTTAACACAGGGGTTAAGAGATGCTGACAATTCTCTTTTCTTTCTTTTCACTATCTCTCTTTCTTTTTTGTGGTACTGAGATTTGAATCTAGGGTCTCACACACTGAACTATATCCTCAACCCCTTTTTTTAACCTTTATTTTATTTATTTATTTTTATGTGGTGCTGAGAATATAACCCAGTGCCTCACATCTGCTAGGCAAGCGCTCTACCACTGAGCTACAACCCCAGCCCCATACCCTTTTTATTATTTTGTTTTATTTTTTTGGTACTAAGGATTGAACCCAGAGGTGCTTAACCACTGAGCTACATTCCCAGCCCATTTTTAATTTTTCCTTTTGAGACAGGGTCTTGCCAAGTTGTTTAGGCCTCACTAAATTACTGAGGCTGGCCTCCAACTTGCAGTCCTTCTGCCTTGTATTCTGAGTAGCTGAGATTACAGGTGTGTGCTACCATGCCTGACTGTTCAGATTTCTTGTCAGGTTCAGTCATCAAACCATGAATCATTAGCTTTTCTTCTGAATGTTTCTTTCTTACCATTTTCTTTCCTCTGTCTTACAGCTGATGGTGAGACCATTTTAAAAGGCCTCCAGTCCATTTTCCAGGAGCAGGGGATGGCAGAATCGGTGCACACCTGGCAGGATCATGGCTATTTAGCAACCTACACAAACAAAAATGGCAGGTGAGCAGCCTCAAGGGCTCTTATTTCATATTGGAACTTTTAAGGAAGAATAAAGATAGGAACAAAGTGGGGGCTGGGGGTGGCATCCCTTGACATCTTGTAGAGGGACTAGAATTCATTGCTTCTCAATCATGCCTGTACATCAGAATCTCCTGGGAGAGTCTTCACAAAATACCCCTGCCCAAGCATTTCCTGCAGAGATTGAGGCCACTGGGCCTGGACATATTTGTTTCTTTAAATCCCCAGTGATTCTTCTTTTTAAAAAATATTTTTAGTTGTAGATGGACACAATACTTTTATTTATTTTTATGCAGTGCTAAGGATCAACCCAGTGCCTCACATGTACTAGGCAAATGCTCTACCATTGAGCCATAAACCCAGCCCATTTCCAGTGATTCTATTATGTGTTAGGACCAATAACCCCTAACAGCATAAGCAGAGTGAAGTGGCAGGCAGTGATCTGGAGTTGGTTAAAACATATTCTTCAGTCCCCTCTGCAAAACTTTGTCTATAAGTTGCTTGACAGGAAGCTGAGATGATCCAAGAGTTCATATCTTTGGTGGTGGTATAGATTTTTAGATTTTATATACTGTATAGATTAGTAGTAACCTATTTTCCCAATAGTACAAAGTACTAAAATTCTACATGATTTCCTTAATGCTCCACTTTCTTTCCCTTCTTTGTTTTTCTATTAAAGGAAAGTAACCACCTCCAGAGATCCAGAAGGAAAAGGTCGTTGAGATGAGAAAAAAACTATTTTTTGAGCCCTTCTGCTCTTTAGTTATTCTCTGTCTGTCTGGTCTACCTCTAGGGCATTAACTGGTGTTCTTTATCCTGATGCCTCTCAAAGACTAGCATGCCAAACCTAGACTTGCATTCTAACTATGTGGCCAGCCTCCCTATGTGTGTTCAGCAGATGCCTCAAATGTTTCTGAAATGAGTATTTCTTCCTTAAGCATGGTCCAAAGTCAACACCACCACCAATCCTTTCTCTATCCCTCATCCTTCTCCTCCATGCTTTGGTCCAGTTAATGGAGAGGCTCCCAGAAGAAGAGGGGCTCTGCAACTATCCTCCAGCTCCTGCAGACTTGCACTCAGCTCCTCCCAATTGCTGCCACCTCACACTGTTTTTACTGTGCTCATCCTTTGGAGACCATAGCAAGTCTCTGCTACTTTGGTGGGCACTTCTTCCACTCCCAGGTGAAAACTTCTCTCCTACCATCTCATAGACTTTTGTAGCCAAGTCTTCCTGCCGTGGTTTTAAAATCTTCTACTATAGGCACAAATTCCAGTTGTGCAGAGGACTTAGAGTCCTTCCCAGAAGGAAGTTTTTAAATGACAAGAGCTATTTTCATTTTTAGGAGTATCCAACTTTGGCTTTGGTATTGGATCCTACCTTCCAGCATTCTCTGTATTCATGCTGGAACCACCTATGTGGTTAAGGGACATATTTGTCTATCTTTGATTTAACCCCAACTCCTCTGCTCCTTAGTGCTGTTGCAGCTGCTGGAAAGGAAAGATGATCAGCTCATCTATACTCATGTAGGTATAGATGAGCTTGTGGTGTCTGGGCCTGAACTTGATTTTGGAGCCATTTTAAGGGCTGAAGGTGAAAATGAATTGGTTTTATTTAATTTTTAATCCAAGTCCATTGCCTGTATTCTCTGAACAGAATTTCTTTTAATTTAGCATTTTTCAAACATTTCTTAAACCACAACTTATAGTAAGAAGCAATTTATTTCATAATCTGGAAATGCACATCTGTGTATATTTCATACAAATATATGCATATAATCAACAAGTTTCATCAGACATATATTACTGCATGTGTTATACTCAAATTTATTTCATTAATAAAGGACTGATCAGCTCCACTAAATCAGGTGTAAGAGAACTTTATTACCCCTGAATTGCATAAGGTTGCTTTCATATATTTTCAGATATTCTTTCTTAAACAACCATTTTTTTTTTAATCTTTTGTACTGGCGATTGAACCCAGGAGTGCTCTACCAGTGAGCTGCATTCCCAGCCTTTTTTACATTTTCTCTTGAGACAGTGCCTCACATAGTTGCTGAGTCTGCCCTTGAACTTGGAATCCTTTTTTCTTGGCCTCCCAAGTCAGGGGCAATCATAGGTGTGTGCCACCACACCCAGCTTAAACAACTCTTTAAAAATATAAATCATTCTAAGCCTGTAGTCAGGACAAGGAACTCTAAGGGTTTACTGGGAGAACCCCATTTGCCCTTCCCTTTCCTTCCTTACTGTACAGCTGTACTCTATGGAATCACCTGGGGAACTACTGAATCACTTTTTGGGCCCAAGAACCAGTTTGGAAAGCCTTAGTATTTGGTGACACCCTCTAAATTTTCCATAAGTGATTGATAGCTTGCTCTTCAAGGAGAGGCCCTGAAAAAGAAAGCCACAGAGTTAAACGTATAATCCAGGGAGAAAAAAAAAGAGCAGTGGTCTTTTTTTTCTAGTTGGGGTGGCCTCTTTTTTCCTTTGGTTTGCCATGATATGATTCCTAACATTTCTAACTTTCTTTTGTAGCTTTGCCAATTTGAGAATTTATCCACATGGATTGGTGTTGCTGGACCTTCAGAGTTACGACAGTGATGCACAGGGCAAAGAAGAAATTGACAGTGTTGGTTTTTTACTTTTATTTATCTTAAATTTTTTTTTCTAAAATTTATTTAAGGATCATAAAATCCACTTAGCTTAATTTAATTAAACTCCCCTCCCCACAGATAAGTGGTTTTGGTAGAGAAAATAGTTGTTTCTTAGTTGGTTTCACTTCCTGAGTTGGTGAAGGCATTCCTGCTCTGCCTGTCTGACAGGGTCACAGTGTGGGGGATGCTGCGGCAAGGCTGCACCATGTGGAAACTTGAACCATTAGGAATGTTAAGTGTTTTGTTTATGATACTCATGATATGGATAACAGGGCATACGTAAATCAATAATAAGAGTATGTATTGCCTGAGATTGCAGGAAAATTCCCAGAATGAGACCAAGGATACAATGGAGACATGCCATGGAGGTGTTTCAATGTCTCACAGGATGGTGTTATTCCTCAAGCCTAAGCAACAAGAAATATTTATCCCATGGTTAACAATTTACACTAGCCCCCTCCCCCCAACCCCATCCTAAAGCCACAACCTGTACAACAGCATAGCTACAGAAAAACAATTGCTGTGCCAATAGTATAAGGACCACTGTGTGTAGCTTATGGTATCCCCTGGAGGACAAGAGGCTAATAAAAATACATTCCCCAACCAATAGACCCTCCTTTGCTTTACGCAGAAATTTATGATGAAAATGGAAAACACATAGTTAATATAAATGACAAATGGGTTGAGGTGTAAAGCCTGCCCTTTAGTTGAAGATTACAAAGACATAAGAATTGGTGTGCTTTGACCAAGGATCAAGAAAGTTCTTTAAGAAAGCAGTTGAATAGCTCATATGAAAAAAAGAAAATTACTTTGGAAATTAAAAATAGAATAATGTAAAATTAACATAGATATATTTTAGAGGCACTTCAGAGTAGTAGGCTTTTAAATAAACTAAAATCTACTTTAAGTGTGTTTTACTGGGATTTTAGTTTAGAAGTAAGAAAGCTTACCAATAATCATAAGTATGCTTTAAAGTTAAAGGTTAATGAAATAATTATAGGTATGCTTTAAAGTTAGAAGTGAATAATAGGTCAGGATTCATGTAGTCTTGTTGCGTTGCCTAGCACCTAGTGATTGAGGTGAAAATGTAAAGCTTAATCATGATTGTCTAAGGTTACAGAAAAATATTTGAACAATGTACTCAATATCTTTGGTAATCAATGTGTGTCAGAAAAGATTGTAATTCTTATAAATTATGTAAATCAAAAAAGTTTCGGGCTTGCTTTGAAGCTATCCATTAACTACCTGAAAAAACACCTGTAAAACAGGTATAAAAATAAAGGTCCCTCCAGGGGCAAAGAGATGTCTTCTGGAGGTTGCTCGTAACTTGCAACCTGTCTTCCCAACTCTTCTTCTTTCGCCAATGTCACTCGTTCTTCGGGACCACCCTGGACCCTTACCTCTCCCCCCGCCGGGGCTGGACCTCAGCACTGAGTATGAGTAATGATTTTACTTTCCACTGGAGAAATTATAGAATTTTTTTTTGTGTGTGGTGCTGGGGCCTTGATGTGTGTTCTAGGTAAGCACTCTACCAAATGAGCTATATCCCCAGCCTAAAAATATAGATCTTTTAACCAGGATTTTATACCTATAATATCCTTTAGTCTTCTCCTTCCCAGTTATTTTGTTGTTAACTAAGTTAAAGCCAGTGCCATGAGTTAGTTGGAGTGGAAGTATGGTATTGGGCCATAGCTAGAGGGGGCAGGTGTATATGCCAGTATGACATATTTCTGTCAACCTGGCCTCAATCCTTTTCTCTGTCATTTAGTTGTTATCTACAGCTTATTCTATATACCCATTGATTTATTTGCTTTTAATTGTAGCTTTTGAACAAAGTAGAAGAAAGAATGAAAGAACTGAGTCAGGATAGTACTGGTCGAGTGAAGCGGTAAGTCCACTCTTCGGTGTTCTTTCATATTTGCTTAAATCAAAATGGCATTGTTGTTCCCAGCAGTGTCTGCTTAAGATGTAGAAGAGACCAAAGTTAATGCTGGCTTTTGGCAGCACTATGAATTAAGCTTCTGGGCCCCCACACTAAAATAGGACAACATTTATATTTAACACACAGTAATGGTGGGTAGTTTTGGTACATATAGTGAAACTAAAATCTAGGAACTGTATAAAGCAGAAACTCAGGTAGAGCTGTCACCTAAGTCAAAGGGGAAGCTAGAACCTCCAAAAGAGAAAAGGGTGTGTCTCTGCTCAGGGTTCTGGAGTCCAGAGTAGAATTAAGCAGTTTTAAGACATTTCTGGTAGGATAGAGTGATAAAAAAAATTTACTGGAAGCTTTCAAGTTAGGAAACTTTCCAAGATACTAAGAATTGAGAGGCCACCCATCATCAACTACCACAGGTAGGCTGTTGTCAAATAGTGATGAAGAAAAAGAACCTTTTCCTGTCTAGTCAGTTAGCTAACAGATTTTTTTCCATGCTGGGGATCAAACTCAGGGCCTCTAGTATGCCAGGCAAGTGTTGTACCATTGAACCACACCCCTAGCCCTGCATGTGGTGATTTAAAGTTAAATAAACAGTTCAGTTCCTCAGTTGTGTTAGCATCATGTCAATAGCAAGTGCCTACCACACTGCACAGCACAGATACAGAACATTTTCATCATTACAGAAATTTCTGTTGGCTATCTCTGAAGTGTCTGCCAGTGGTGCCTGATTTTGAAAAGCTTTTTGACAGACATAGCAATTTTAACATTTGTTGGAAGGGATAGGGTCTGGTGGGTCATCTGAATTAAGTGCTTTGAATACTCAGCATCTGTTTCTCAGCAATTTGTTCTTGCCTTACCTTGGTGGTTCCTCCTCAGGCCACAAGTCATGGAAGACCTGTGCCTTTGCTCATAAAGTTAATTTCATAGATGTGGAGACAGACAAGGAGGGATTTTGTCAAGGTCACTCCATCATTGATGGGAGCAATCAGAATACTGATTTTGCTAGTTCATAGCAGTTTCCAGAAGAGGAAATCCTTATTGGCAAAGGGTAGGATGTTTAAGTACATAATGACTCACCCTTTTCAGTTTGATCAGCCCATAGGAAAGCTCCAGGGCAGATGCAAGACAACAAGGTAATTATTTAACTTCCAGTAGGTAGAAAGGGAAAAAGGAAACTAAGTGAAAAGAACAGACTGGGTGTGAAACTTGGCCACTTTTTAAAACATATTTGAATACTCAGTCTTTTTTGTTACCCCACCCAAGTTCAGTTTAGGGGCCCTTGGTTATGTCTTGTCCCTTTCTCCATTCTTTTTCTTTTTTTGATGGTGCTAGGGATGTAACCCAGTGCCTCATGCCTGCTAGGCATGTGATCTACTGATCTACATCCCCAGATCAGGTTAACAGGTGTTTAGATCAATGAGTTTTATACATTCATAAGTCAATGAGTTATAGGAAGGTACTGAGCAGACAAGTTAGTTACTGGTCTCTTCAGTGACCAGGCCTGCTTGTTATATAATATTCTGAGGGATAGAGGATATGAGAAAGCAATGCCTAGGTCTGGACCAGATATTCCACTAGCCCAGCTGAACTTTCTCTTCTTTCATAGGGAGTGGCCCTGGGGGTCTTCTGAGCCTACAGTGTAGAGTGTCTACAACACCTTATACCTCCATTCCAGGTCATCTCCTTACTACTCCATTCAGGCTTCTTTTCACATACACATACCAAAAAATCTTGTTACTGCTGATCTGTACCTTTCTGGAGGGAGTATTAGGGATGAGTTCCCCATAGTCTGCCTTCTGAGTCTCAGACTTGTCTTCCTTAGCACAGAGCCCTTCTGAAATAATAAATTAAGATTCTTCCTCTTCAATCTGATCCATAAAACAAGTCCTCATCTTGCCCATATCTTCTAACACCATGAAAGCTCCATACTAGCTACCTTCCTTATCTAACCTCTGGAACTTGGGTCCACCAACCCATGTCTTTACCTTATGACATCTTCGAATGGGCACATCCAAAATCCAGCCCATGATCTTCTCTTTGAAACCTGTTTCTTGTGCTGACTTCCCCAACACCATTCTTTCAGACTTTTAAGGGGCTGGGGATATAGCTCAGTTGGTAGAGTGCTTGCCTAGCATGCACAAAGCCCTGGGTTCAGTCCTAGCACCACACACACACAAAAAAAAAAAAAAAATAAAAAACAGACTTTCAGGCAAAAATCATGGGATGAACCTTTACCTCCTACTTTTCTTCATAGTTCTAGCTAATGCAGCAGGAAATCCTGCCACTTCTATTTTTCAGATTTGTCTGATATCTAATCACATATCCTCTCTGCTGCCACCCCTCTGTCTAGCCTCCACTTAGAGTTCACCCAGGGTCAAGAGCAAATAATCTGAAGGCAGGTTACTTATGAATATAATAATTAATAGGTTTCTAAAAATCCACCCCCTCCATTTCTGATTCTGGGTGTTTGTGGTCCAGAATGAGGCCAGATCCCCACCCGAGATCCTGATGAGTCAAAGTGACTTTTTTTTTTAATATTCCTTTCATTCAGGGAAGCCTGATTATAGCCTGTGGCTCAGTGGTGGCTATGGTCCAATGGTATATCCCAGGCAGGTTCAGCCATTGCAACATCCATATTATATAATGCCTGCCTTTGCCACTAGGGGGCTTCTCATTGCTATATCCAGGAATACCTCAGAGAAGACAGAGGAGAGACAGTGGAATTCATGCCTGGTGGGATCACAGGCCTCTGAGTGCATGAGCCATAGACCAGAGTGTTCACTGGATCATCCTTCAGGTTGGAGAAACCCAGGGCCAGCTTGACCTCTTCCTCCTTAAGGGTCCTGGTTTTCATCAGTGCTGTTTGGGGTCTTCTGCAGATGGCCTTCCTCATCTTTTTCTTCTTTCTACCAGGCATTCATTTCTGTGAATAAAGGGAGGTTGTCATATTTTTAATGTATTTCTCATCTAAACTTTGCATCATTATGGGCTTTTTCCCCATAAGATCTAAACCAGTGGCTTCCCCCTCAGTATTCCTGTTTTTATTCCCTGTCCCCTTTCCCCTCCCAACTTTAATTATTAACACAGGGCAGAATAATTCTACAACTAATCGTCCCTCATGGCACCATCTCAGATTTCCATTACAGCAGAGCCTTCACTTTACCTCTGTTCCTGCAGACACAGTCAATCCTGGGTTTCCCCAATGCTGCCAACTTAGTAGTACCTACAGGCCTTTGCACATGCCACTTCTGGATAGGAACTCTCTGATAGTCCCCATGATAATGGCTGAAATGGTGATTCCTGCCCCCTATCCCACCCAGTACCTCTCTTCTAGACACAGGGGCCTTATCTGCAGTGAGCTATTTAGATTTCTCTATCTGGCTTCAGTATTTGAAGGTGTGGGGGTTGTGCTAGGGGAGGGCCTGGGAACACATTACACATCTGAGTAGAGCTTATGGGCACAGCCTTTGCCAACTGAGCCAGGGAATATGAGAGAAGTGGATATGATCTGGATGGGGGCCAGAGCACTGGAGTCCGAAAAGCAGCCAGAAGGAGTCCCTTCCCCATTTCAGGTGTGTTGAGAGCCACAGCCAAAGGGGCCCCAGCAAACTTCCAGCTGCCAGCAGTCTGGCTGGGCACAATCAGGAGCCACTTGTCAAAAGAAACTAACTTTATTTTTAGAACCACACACGCCAAACAAAACAGCCTCTCAGGAAAAACCCTCAGAGCCTCAACTGCCACCACCGGCTTTCCACAAGCCTCTCTCTTCCACACCAGCTTCTCTCTACCTCCCACAATCCTCCTGCTCTTGAGGCCGATTGGCTGGGTCACGTGGGCAGAGCCAAAAAAGTCCCCCAATGAGCAGCTCCGTGGTCTGAAAGGGCAGGGAAACAGCCCAATGAGCATCACCGCAGAGGAGCCAATCAGCTAGATGTTGCTGGGGCCGAGGAGCCAATCAGCTAGATGTTGCTGGGGCCGCTGTGAGCCAATCATCAGCCAGCAGCTGGAAGTTTGCTGGCAGCTGGAAGTTTGCTGGGGCCCCTTTGGCTGTGGCTCTCAACATCTCCCCCTCTCTGTTTAAACAACAAGCATGTGGCTTAGGGACCGTGCCTGTTAGGCAGTCCAATTCAACATATGGTCCTTACCCGTCATCGGATGAACTGACCTCTAGGCGTCAGCCTCCTGTCTTAGGTTGGTACCACTGCAATTGGATCATACCCGTCACTGACTACCGGTCCAGCATACAGCTATACTTGTGGATAGGCCTTTGCACCAGTGGGGGGGTGAGGTTCTTTGCCTCACCTCTGTTGGCCCCCAAATTTTAGACCATCACTAGTAGAGGAGGATGCAAAATGCCATGACATTAAGCCAATTGAGGGCTCCTTTGAAAAATTGTACCACCGGTGACATCATCAGCAAAAATACCCCAACACTACCACAAGTCGCTGCACCAACAGATAGTTCACAGTGCATACAGGTGAGCTCACAATGTGTCCAGGCAAGTTCTGCAAGCAGTTCAGTGATGGCTATTGTAGAAGCTGTAGATTGGTTTTATCTTTGACTTCACCAGCACTGGGATGAAGATAGCTCTTGAGGCCGATTGGTTGGGTCACATGGGCGGAGCCAAAAAAGTCCCCCAATGAGCAGCTCCGTGGTCTGAAAGGGCAGGGAAACAGCCCAATGAGCATCACCGCAGAGGAGCCAATCAGCTAGATGTTGCTGGGGCCGCTGTGAGCCAATCATCAGCCAGCAGCTGGAAGTTTGCTGGCAGCTGGAAGTTTGCTGGGGCCCCTTTGGCTGTGGCTCTCAACACAGGTGAAGAATCCTGCTCCCTGGTTGACAGCTAGCTATAGGCAGTACTGAACTAGGCACAAACCCACTGAAAATAGACAGTGCCTATCCAGAAGCAGTCAAAAGAAGTCCCTTCCCCATTCTTAAAATCATATCCACACCCACACCACTTTCTGGACACTTCATCTTTTCCTTTTTGAACAGTTTTGCTTATCTGCATCCATTGAATTGAATCTGTTCTCATTATGAGGGAAAATGAGTTGTTCCACATCAAAATACACCCTGATCTTTATCAGGGTTACTTCTAGGAGTGAGCATATAGAATACATTTCTGTGCTTCAGCATTCATGAGAAATCTGGTTCTTTTGTTTTTTTGGTATAGGAATTTTCTAAGTGGAACTGGAGCCAAGCTTTAGATCTTCAAATCAAAATGCAGATCCTGTTTTTGCTTGTCACAGTTTTTACATCTTCTTTTTATAAAATAAGGGTCAAAAGAGCAATAACTTGGGAATATCTTGTTGTAGACCCTTTGTTAATGGCCCAAAAGGACAAGGATTGTTTTACTTTTTTGTCTGGGGAATGACATTGTTACAGATGAAATCATGAACAGACATCTTCGTAACATTATTTGAAATTGTTACTATTCCCCTTTGGCTAATGAATTAAATCTGATTTTTTTTTTTTTACTAAGGAGCCCCATAGGATTTATCTGAACATTTATTTCTATATTTTCAAATGAAAAGGAGCAAGAAAACAAGCTTACATGTTTCTTGTTTCTCCCCAGTGCTGGGGATTGAACCCAGGGCTTTCCACATGCTGAGCAAATCTTCTGTAACTGAGCTTCATTCCCAGCCATTTCATTTTTAAAAATCTTGCAATTTACACAGCACACCTGAGGCCCAGGACATATTCCACCTGATGTTCTGCAGTCGATTTTTTTATTTTCAGCAGTAAAGGTTGAAATGAGTTTTCTAGAGCTCCACAGCATCTTCTGGTAGCACATTACAGGATGATGTGTTCTATGCTGGGTTGAGTACTCTCAGGGTAATGGCTTCCACATCCGGTTTGAGATCCTTGTTGCTTTTTTGCCTGGCTTTAAAAACCATTGTGTTGCAATGGAGAAGAGAGCTCTTCATCTTAACCCAAGGCACTATTGACATAAATAAGGCTAGGCACTGTTTATTTTCAGTGGATTTGTGCCTAGTTCAATATTGCCTAGAGCTGGCTGGCTGTCAACCAGGGGGCAGGATTCTTCCCCTGAAAGCTGTGACTTTTTTATCTTCATTTAGTGCCACCTCACAATATACCCTATCATCTATCTGGTGGAAGAAGCTTCCTCCAACTCCTCTTTGCTTGGTCTTGGGGGCCTGTCCTGATTGGGGTTTCACTTTTTACTTTTTTTTAAAAAAAAGTATATGGGGATGAAGTGTGATACCTGCAGTGACCATTTTCTCCCTCAGCTTTTTATTAGGAAAAATGTAAAACATGTCAGAAAGTTTGTGGAAAACTAAACTCGTATGTGTAAAAGTTGTTGATATGTGGTTGTGGTTGTGCATTTACCTTTGTAAATGCCCCAAATCTGGATTTGTTTTTGTTCTTTTAAAGAAATACCTCTCTGGTCTGCCTAACATTTTGAAAGCTGGATTTGTTCACTGGAAAGGTGAAGTGGTTAAATCTGGAGTTTTTAGGATTAAATGAGAGCTTATGGAAATTTTCTTTGTCAGCCTTAGTGCTCTTTATGATGTTAGTATTTTCTCAGAGAAAACCTTGTTAACTTGTAACAGGCTCAAACTGTTACTCTTGGAAGCCAATGATTGGGGAGTGGGAAGAGACTCAGCAGTAAGGCAGAGGTAGTTATGTTCTAGTGTTGTGGGTGTCTGTGGCTATACTTCATGCCATTTTACTATTGAACACTACTATGTTTGAGAACACAACTTGCATGCTCTTGTGTTGTATGTGCAATGTGTTCTCAGTTTCTTTGTGTTTGAGTTAGATTTGCCAAGCCCCCTTTCCAGGTCCCTTTTCTCTTGTCATTTAGTGCCCTCTACTGGTATTTTCTAGTATATTCATCCTATCTAAACCACTGAGTATTTATAAAAGCATGGACCAAGAAACTCATCATTTTGTAGCTACTCCAATAATAATTAGTTCAGGCAAGAATCTTCTAGATAACACAGCCACTGGTAAAGATATATTGGTAGATCAGGACAGTCACCCAGCTTCAGAGGCCCCACCACAGCCTGCTTAGTAATTTCTGTGGGTGAAAGGGACCTTTGCAAATGAGAGATCCAGCAAGCATTACTGTAACCAAATGCCCACCCACTTTGCATCACCAGTGATAGGACAGGAACACCTCTTGTGTTCCTTATGAGGTGCCTGTGTAATATGTCAACCTGACTGATCATGAAAAGACCAGGCAAACTCACGGAAGGGATTTTTCTTTAGAATACCTGATCTGAACTTTGTAGAGAAATCATAAAACATACCAGAATAGAAAAAGAATATTCTAAGTAAAATAAGGGTTAAGAAAATAAAAGAATAATAGAAAAATGCAGTGTGTAAACCTTTATTCAAAAGCAGAACTGCAATAAAGGACATAATTGGGACATTTAAGGAATCTTGAAGGTGAACTCTGTACTAGATAATGGTTGACACTGGTAATGGCCATATGGCTATGTAAAAGGTCTTAAGCAAAAGTGTATGGGGAGCGGCTGGGGTTGTGGCTCAGCGGTAGCGTGCTTGCCTAGCATGTGAGGCACTGGGTTAGATTCTCAGCACTGCATAAAAATAAATAAATAAAATAAAGGTCCATTGCCAACTGAAATAATATTAAAAAAAAAAGTATGGGCAGCCAATTTGGAAAGCAGTATGGAGATTTCTTGGAAAGCTGGGAATGGAGCCACCATTTGACCCAGCTATTCCCCTTCTTGGTCTATTCCCTAAAGACCTAAAAAGAGCATGCTACAGGGACACTGCTACATCGATGTTCATAGCAGCACAATTCACAATAGCAAGACTGTGGAACCAACCTAGATGCCCTTCAATAGACGAATGGATAAAAAAAATGTGGCATTTATACACAATGGAGTATTACTCTGCATTAAAAAATGACAAAATCATAGAATTTACAGGGAAATGGATGGCATTAGAGCAGATTATGCTAAGTGAAGCTAGCCAATCCCTAAAAAACAAATGCCAAATGTCTTCTTTGATATAAGGAGAGTAACTAAGATCAGAGTAGGGACGAAGAGCAGGAGAAGAAGATTAACATTTAACAGGGATGAGAGGTGGGAGGGAAAGGGAGAGAGAAGGGAAATTTCATGGTAATGGAAGGAGACCCTCAGGGTTATACAGTGGAGGGGGTAGAGAGAGAGGAGGGGAGGGGAGGGGAGAGGTGGGGAGGGGGGAGGGTGGAGGATGGGAAAGGCAGCGGAGCACAACAGACACTAGTATGGCAATATGTAAATCAATGGATGTGTAACTGATGTGATCCTGCAATCTGTGTATGGGGTGAAGGTGGGAGTTCATAACCCACTTGAATCAAAGTGTGGAATATGATATGTCAAGAAATTTGTAATGTTTTGAACAACCCACAATAAAAAATTAAAAAAAAAAGTATATGGGGATGAAGTGTGATACTTGCAGTGACCATTTTCTCCTTCAGCTATTTATTAGGAAAAATGTAAAGCATGTCAGAAAGTTTGTGAAAAACTTTAAACTCATGTGTAATAGTTGTTGATACGTTGATCTTATGTTGTATGTGCAATGTGTTCTCAGTTTCTTTGTGTTTGAGGATGTATAAAAGTAAATGCCCAATCTCTGGATTTGTTTTTGTTCTTTTAAAGAATCCACCTGTGGCATGTGGCTTTCTGTTGTGCACTCTTCATCCCTTATCCCCTAGGCTGCATTGAAGAAAGGCTCATTTCTGTTTCCTTTTTTTCCAGATTACCTCCCATAGTTCGAGGAGGGGCCATTGACAGATATTGGCCTACTGCTGATGGACGCCTGGTTGAGTACGACATAGATGAAGTAGTATATGATGAAGATTCACCTTATCAGAACATTAAAATTCTACACTCGAAGCAGTTTGGAAATATTCTTATCCTCAGCGGGGATGTTAGTAAGTATTCTATCCCTGCCTTGATTAAGTGATAAGGTCATGGTATGTTGAATGGTTGTGTTTTCCTGACAAGTACCACAGATATGGATTTGTCCAGGTTTGTCTCTAACACTGCTATCTTTTAGACAAACATTTACAATCTATTAACCTGTAGATTGCCTGGATTTTCATGTAAATTTTGTCTTGACTTTTTTTCTTGTGATGAATAGTTGGATTATATTGCAAAAGAAAGTGCAATTGCTTATTTTAAATACTTTGTTAGGGAAATATTCAAACCTTAAGTAGTATACTCACCATTTGAACATCAACAGTTATGAACTCTTGGCCAGTCTTGTTTCACCTAAGCCCCAGTGTGTGCATTTTGTTCCTGTCATATTATTTTGAAATAGCTCCCAGACATCATATCATTTCATCCCTAAAGATGTCATTGCTTTAATTATTCAGCATATAAGCACATTCCCAAGGCTGGATTTTCTTTACACTGACTACTAACTATTCATTTCTGTTTGGTGTTAGATGAGACCTACTTAATGTTTGCATTTTTCTCTAACAAAGTATTTTTAAATAAGCAATTGCACTTTCTTTTGAAATATAATCCATGTACTCATCACAAGAAAAAATAATGTCAACACAAAGTTTACATGAAAATCCAGGCAATCTACAGGTTAATTAGTATGTTGTGAATGTATATCTTAAAAGACAGTAGTGTCAGAGACAAAGGGTTGATTAAAAACTCCTCAATCTAAATAAATAAATAAGTAAGCAAGTAATTAAGTAAGTAAATAAATGCTACTGATAGTTTTCAAAGATTGAAAATTTTATATTACAGGCTAGATTCCAGCACTTTCTAGGATAGTGAGATCAGGTGGTTTGTGTATTTGTATAGTCACCATTTGGCTCTTTGTTTCTTCTCTCTAGATCTGGCAGAGAGTGATCTGGCGTATACCCGGGCTATCATGGGCAGTGGCAAAGAAGATTACACTGGCAAAGATGTGCTGATTCTAGGAGGCGGAGATGGGGGTATATTATGTGAAATAGTCAAACTGAAACCAAAGATGGTCACTATGGTAGAGATATCCTTTGTCATATAAAAGAACAAGTTCACTGGGCTTCTTTTTTTCTTCCCTTTTTGTGTTTTAAGACTTAAGTTAATATTACCACAGACTAAAGGCAGACGTGTTACATAGACTGCCTTCAACAAATGCTTCAGTTTAGTACTAGTAGCTTTTTATGTGGCTACCAACAAAGAAGCAGAGATAGCATAGTTGAGGATTAAAGAGGAAGTGGCTTTGGTACCCTGTCTGCTGTTTAGCAGTTACCAAAATGGCTTCCCTAAGCCATTTCATTAAAAAAAAAAAAAGAAAAAAAGAAAATTCAGGGGGCTGGGGATGTTGCTCAGTGGTAGAGTGCTTGCCTGGCATACATGAGGCCCTGGGCTTAATTCCCAGTATTATGAACAAAAATTAAAGATAAAAGAAAAAAAATTCATTTCTTTTTTAGTATTCCTAGTGTGAAAATAAAACCATTATGTCATCAACTTTCTTTAGCCTATGATACTCAAAGTCCTATAAGACCTTTATGTTTGTCAGACTCGATGGTGCCCACCTATAATCCCAGTGTCTCAGGAGGCTAAGTCAGAAGGATTTCAAATTCAAGGCCAACCTCAGCAACTTAGTGAGGCCTTAAGCAACTCAGCTAGACTATGTCTCAAAATGAAAAGGGCTGGGGATGTGGCTCAGTGGTAAAGTGCCCCTGGGTTCAATCCCCAGTACCAAACAAGACAAAACAAAATAAGTAAACAGTAATAACAACAACAACAAAAAAACCCTTCATTTTTGTCTTGATCTTCTTTAAAAATAGTGTTACTATTTCAGAATTCTTTGATACATTTAAATTCTCCTTAACCTGTTTCGGACATTGACCAAATGGTGATTGATGGATGTAAGAAATATATGAGAAAAACATGTGGTGACGTCTTAGACAATCTTAAAGGAGACTGCTATCAGGTAATTATGTTTTCCTGGTAATGTATTTTAGGACAACTGGTATGAATTATTGATTGGAATTGTATCTTAAAACAGCTTTTAGATAATTGGTTAAGAAGATAAATAGATTGTCTCTCTATGTGAGTGTCTGTCTATGTGAGTTTAGTGTACACTTACATTTAGGGTGGATATGTACAGATAAGGAGAAGTAAACCACCAATTCCAGGTTTGAATCAGTTTGAATTGAATCACATTACTTTTTTATTTTTGGTGCTGGGGATCACATTCAGGCACACACTTTACCACTGAGCAATACCCCCAACCTACATTAATTCTTGTAGAAAAGATGTCATGTACCTTTTTATGAATTGGCAATCATCACCTTCTGTTTTATCCTGAATCATTTCTTTGAGTTTTGATCTTTCAGTAGGAATTCAGGTATATTTAATTGGTAGGTATACATGATTAAAATGCATGAGATAGGAGCAATGTCTTGTTAATAAGCAATTAATTTCTGTTCTAAATTCCACTGTGCTTGTGATGTGTAGTATATATTTTGTATTGTATTTTGGAGATGCATATGTTTGGTACACATACCTACAGGTTTGTTGCAGCAAGGCATCTAAGAAAATACATATTTTAACGGAATTTTAATGTGTTCCTTCAGAAATTTTGATGAGTGCTTTAATTTAATATGTAAATTATTTAATACCTCCTTCCCTAATGTATGTGCATCTAAATTTGATTTCATGGTACATGCATGTTAGTCTTTTGAGAGGAATTTTGTGCACCTTAAAATTCAGTTGTGATTGTTTTATAGGAAATAGGGGAGAAAGACATAAATTCAGCTTTACTATATGAAAGCTTAAAGGTGGGGTGTGTGTGGTGGTAATCCCAGTTACTTCAGAGGCTGAGGCAGGAGGATTGCAGTCTGGACAACCAAGCAAGACCCTGTCTCAAAATAATATTTTTAAAAAGGAGTGGGATTTTGCTGAGCAGTAGAGCACTTGCCTAATAAATGTGAAGCACTGGGTTCAATCCTTACAGTTGGTGGAGGGTACATTAGGTTGTTCAGAGTGTGTTTGCAACTATTTAATATATTTAATCAAATTGTTTCATGAGTTTAAAGTTACCACTGTTTGCAAACAATGAACCAGACCCTCTGCCCATGTATTTAACTTTTATACTTGTAACTGGTGGTACTATTTCAACTCCAGGATGACAATGAAGCTTAGAGAATTTAAAGGGAATTTCTTTAAGGTTATAGGAGTGTGGCATAGACTCCTATCTCCCTTCCTTCTTATGTGGCTTTCTTACCTGGATTAAGACCACAAGCAAAAACCCAAACAGTTGAGTTGTCAACTGGGGTTTTGTTTGTTTGTTGGTGCTCAGTAAATATGCATTGATCAAATTATACTATATGAATATATCACAATCAATTCCACTTTTATGTATAACTATAATGTTAAATAGAAGGAAGATTAATATAGAAGTAGATCGGGGGAGGGCGGTGGGAAGAGAAGGAGGTCTTAATGAGGATTGAAATGAAGCAAAATAAGTTATGCAATTGTGAATATGTCAAAATGAGCACAATTATGTGAAAGTATAATGTACTAATAAAAATATAAATTAAAAAAAATAAGTGAATGAATATTGTTAAATTCACCTGTTAAAAGAACTCATAGTAACAAATCACATCTTGCTTTTAGTTAAGGCATCATTGGAGAGAGTTGGTTTTGGAGTGCATCCTCATCCTCCTCTTTTCTGGAACATCAGCATTACCAGGGGGAGCCTGGAAAATTCTTCTGTGACTGACTGAGTTCTCTTTCTCTCTCTCTGTCTCTCTCTCTCTCTCTCTGAGCCACATCCCTAGCCCTATTTTGTATTTTATTTAGAGACAGGGTCGCTGAGTTGCTAAATGCCTCACCATTGTGGAGGCTGTCTCAGCCTCCTGAGCTGCTGGGATTACTCTCAAGAGTTGATAGGCTTGGGGGCTGAGTGCATGGCCGCCTCTGTGGGGGAAGAAAGACCTACCTGACCACTTTCCCTCAGGGGCATGTAAGTCCCTTGTCCATTAAAGTGCTGCCATTGATGAGAAGCCAAGGCTTTGCAGCTATTTCACATTTGTTTAGAAAATTGAAAACATTCCAAAGCCCTCCTGGATTTATAACTATGGAATAACTTTAATACTGAAGTACAGGTAGTATACCAAGAAAACTGAAGACTGATCATACATTTGCATGTACACACACACACACACACACACAAAGTTTCCAAGTAAAATGTACAAACTTATTTAAGAATTCTACATTGTGCCTAAGTAGGATTTCATTCAGATATGTAAAGACGTGAATTTTGAGAAATACAGTTAACATAATTCATTATATGAACAAAGAGTGATATATTAACAAATTACAAGAATTTGAGAATACTTAGCAGTCATTTTTTTTAAATGTTTTTTAGTGGTGCTGAGGATTGAACCCAAGGCCTCGGGCATGTGAGGCAAGTACTCTACCAACTGAGCTACTGAGCTATATCCCCAGCCCCCAGTCATTTTATTAAAAAATATTTTTAGTTGTAGATGGATATAATACCTTATTTTATTTATTTATTTTTATGTGGTACTGAGGATTGAACCCAGTGCCTTGTGTGCTAGGTGAGCATTCTACCACTGAGTCACAACCACAGTCCCCATTCTTTTTTTTTTTTTTTTTTGGTAGATGGACACATTACCTTTATTTATTTATTTTTATACATTCATTCATTTGTGTGGTGCTGAGGATCAAACTGTGCCTCACATGTGCTAGGCAATTGCTCTACCACCGAGCCACAACTGCAGCCTAGCAGTCATTCTTTATAAAAATTCTTTAAGTAAAATAAAATTGCACTAGATGGAATCATCAAAACGTAATAGAAACTAATTATCAGAAACTTAATAGTAGGGGCTAGGATTGTGGTTCAGCGGTAAAATGCTTGCCTAGCATGCGTGGGGCCCTGGGTTTGATCCTCAGCACCACATAAAAAAATAAATGAATGGAATAAAGGTATTGTGTCCAACTACAACTAAAAAAATAAATATTAAAAAAGAAACAATAGTAAAATTATAGTAATATAAGTGGTAAAAGCTATTTCACCTGAAAACTAGGAACAAAGAGGATGCTTATTATTTGTCTTCATGGTTGTTTTTGAGGCAGGTAATATAGTCAGGTAGGAAGATGAACACTGTAAAAAATCTAGGAACCATAGAAAATCAGTTGGATTCATGAGAATCTGGTAAAGTGATAGATAGGGACAGATGAAAAATATTCTTCCTGCTGAAATGCTGAATAGTTTGGAAAAAAAAGGGAGGAGTGAGTGAGCAGGAAATCCTATTCAAAGTAATAACCAACTGTTGAACACCTAGGAAAAACTGAACACGAATGGTGTTCTGAGAGTGATCTGAATTATGTTAAGATCTTATTGAAAGATATCACATAAAGTCTGAATATGTGGAGGAGAGGCATGCTTATTTCCTTCACGGATAAGAGAAAAAAATACCTGTTTTTGTTTTTTGTAGTTATAAGCAATTCCAAGGAGTAGATTTAGACTTAGACCTACTGATTTTAAAGTTCATTTTTTAAAATATTTTATTTACATTTTTTAGTTTTCGGCAGACACAACATCTTTGTATGTGGTGCTGAGGATCGAACCCGGGCCGCACCCATGTCAGGGGAGCACGCTACCGCTTGAGCCACATCCCCAGCCCCTAAAGTTCATTTTAAAAGATAAATAGATATCTAAGAATAGTCAAGAAGATTTTGGAAAATAATCATAGTGAAGGGAGACTTATCCTATTGATTGCTAATTTTTTTATATCTTTATTTAATTTATTTATTTATATGTGGTGCTGAGGATCGAACCCAGGGCCTCGCACATACTAGGTGAGCGCTCTACCACTGAGTCAAACCCCAGCCCCTATTGATTGCTAATTTAAGTCACAGTATTCAGATAGGAAATATGTCATAGGATTAGACATAGTTTAGAGGAATGAAACAGAAACTTGCATATTTGGGTGTGTATCCCTACACATAGTGTTAGTACATGATCTGTAGTACATGAACTAAGATATAAGATATGTTTCAGTTCACTTGGGAAAAGGAGGTTTAATTGATTTAATAAGCCATAGTGGGCTAACCATCTGCATGAGAACAAAGTTAGCTAACCCTAGAAACCATGGAAGGAGGAATTTCAGATCAATAGATTTATGAAAATTTAGAATTGGGAAACATTTTAAGAAAAGACATTCAGAAACTGCGGATGCTGTTTTTTTTGGCATTACCAAGCCAAAAGACAAGACTAGAGAAGTACTGGTAACAAATATGATAGGGTTTTGATCCCATGACTAATAAAAAAGAGTCCTTACCACTTAAAATTTAAAAATGAAGTTAGCTAAATTTAAAAAGAATAAAGAATATGAACTGGTACTTTTTAGAAGAGGAGAAAGTCAAATGACTTTTCAAAATACTTCAAGATGCTTACCCCTGTTGATGACCCAGGAAGTTTTTTGGAAACATTAGCAAGCAACTTGGCAAAATTTAGGACAGTACTCCATGCTAGGGAGGATGCAAGGAAATTGTGGTTTGCAGGCATTGTTGGTTGGAACATGAGTTGTTTCCAAAACTGAAAACTTAAAACACATGTGGCTTATTACCTTACTAACCCAGTGTTTGAGCACCCAGCTCACAGATGAAGGCATCAGGAGAAGGAAGTTTGTTATGTTCATAGAGGCCAAGGCTTGGTGATCACAAGAGTAGAACATTTTTAGTGAAATGGCATAATCTTAAAATTCATTATATAGAAATACAATTATTATAATAAAGATATAAAAACAATGTTAGACAAAAATGTCCAAGTTGAGAATGATGTATGTGATTCAGGTTTTACAAAACAGAACACATTTGTGTTTAGGTGTGTGTGAGTATAAGAATCTATATGACTGTGAAAATTATGACAAATGAGATTAATATGTAGATTATAAGATGCTGTTAGTACGTCACCTTTGCCTACTTGAACTATTCTGATGCATTGAGACAAGTCATAAAACAATAGGACAGTAAAATTCTTTTAAAATTATGACTGATTAAAAACTACAGGATGTCATCATAGGGAATTGTGGCACACTTTTGATTTCTGACTTGGTACATGCGATTTTTTTTTTTTTTTGTAATTAGGAAAACAACAGATGAGGAGAATAACTCCTGTCTCTTTCAGGGTTTTACTTAGACCCAGGTGTGTCCTCAGCATATAGCTTCAGTATTTCAAAGATGAGGCAAACCCAAAATTTATTAGTCCTCTCTTATTCTGGAGGAATATGATTCCAGATCCCTAGTGGATGCTTGAAATTGTAGGTAGTACAGATTTCTATATATACCATGTCTATATATCTATATATCTGTATCTATATCTATACTTATGATGAGATTGAATTTATAAGCTATGTAGAGTAAGATTAATAATAGGTATTATTAATAAAGTAGAACAGCAGTAATAACATACTGTAACAAAATTCCAGCACCATTGGTTTTGTGCTTTGGGGCCATATTAAGCAAAATAAGGGTTAGTTTGACACAAGCTCTGCGATATTATAATAGTCTGATAACTGAGGTGGCTACTAAGTGGCTATTAAATGACTAGTAGTAATATATACTCTGGACGAATGGATGATTTATGTCCTGCACAGGGTGATGTGAAATTTCATCATGAGAACAGCACACAATTTAAAACTTACAAATTGTTTATTTCTGGAATTTTCCATTTAATACATTCAGACTGAGGTTGGCCAAGGGTAATTAAAACCATGCCTAGTGAAACTGCATATAAGGGGGAGTCTACTATATTTACTATACAGGATCTGTCTGAGAATTTCAGCCTTTAACTACTATTCTCCACTCTTGATGACTTTTCTGTGGTGGAAGTTGATATTTATGAAATGGCTTAATTATCTGTAGTACTCAATATTTCAGAAACCATAGGTTAATAGTTTAAGATGCAAGGATTAATAAGCCATGAAGTCATTCAGTGTTTAGTATAAATTAAAAAAAACTAGAAGAAAATTCAGATAGTATTAGGAGAGGGAGTCAGGATCAGAGTTAAAAATATGAACTTGGCTTTCAGATAGTTCTTGGTGTACTTTTTGTCTGTTTATTGGGTGGTTTTGGGTGTAACCTCTCTTAAGTCACTTTCTCCATTGGTAAAATGGTGATGATAACAGGCCTTGTAGAATTGTTGTTTAGTTGAAATGAGAAGGCGTATGAGGCATATAATGAACACTTATTTTTGCCATTACAAACATGGATGAAGGTCTGTTTTTGTGTGGCAGGTGCTGTGGATCTAATCTCCGGCTTGCATTTTCCCCCTTCCTCTATAAATGTTGTTTAATTACATCCACATGTATTGTCTCACTTGTACAATCCTATTATCTCTGGAAGGTTCTAATAGAAGACTGTATTCCAGTACTGAAGAGGTACGCCAAAGAAGGGAGAGAGTTTGATTATGTGATTAATGATTTGACAGCTGTTCCAATCTCCACATCTCCAGAAGAAGGTAGATTGTGTTTTGTTTTTAACCAAGATAACTATTAATGGAAATGTTTTCTCCTGGCACTTTGTGAAGGTGAAAGGATTTTAGAGATTGTCTAGTTCTTTCATTTTTTTTAAAAAAATATTTTTTAGTTGTTGATGGACTTTTATTTTTTATTTATTTATATGTGGTGATGAGAATCGAACCCAGTACCTCATGCATGCTAGACTATCGCACTACCACTGAGCTACAGCCCCAGCCCCTATTTCATTTTCTTAAATGGAGTTAAACTGAGGGCCATGGTGGAAAGATGGCTGGATTCGGATTTGGCTTTAATTCCTGTTCTGCCTTTAAATGAATTAATTCAGTCATTTGAAACAAACATTAAGTGAAATGGCCCATAATCACAATACGGAGACATTAAATTATTTGATATTTTATTTAAATAATGTGTTTTTACCTATAATGGGACAAACTGATAATCTTTCTAAGCAACACAAGAGACAATTCTCCTCAAACCACATGCCTCCAATTGCTGCTAGTTTGTGTTTTCTATTAATGTTTTTTTTTTTTTTTCTGTAAACTTGATTTACTGGCTGAGTTTGCAGAATGGGGTCCCAATCTGATGATCCTTGCATTTTTCTCCCAATGTTGCTACTTCCCCCATTGAAGCAGTTTTAGATTTCAACAATTACCTTTGTGTGGAATTTTTTTTTTTACTTGGGTGCATTGTGGAGGTTATTGGTAGTGAAACCCAGGGCTCTTGCAGGCTACATAAGCACTTTACCACTGATCAATAGTCTTGACGTCCTATGTCAAATCTTTTTTGGTGGTTTGAGAACAATGCTAAGTAGATACAAATTTGATTTTGACCTTGGAATTTATGTGTGTGTGCATGTAAGACTAACTATATGACTGTTGCATTATTGTTCATGAACAAACCCTCTAATAGTGGGTCTCAAGCTCATGGATCTTCCTGTTTTTGTATTATTGAGTACTAGAGTGAATATTTGGTGATAGATATTTTTGATGCAAACCCGTACTTATAAAATTTAATTTTTTTAACATTCAGATTCCACATGGGAGTTTCTCAGATTGATTCTTGACCTCTCAATGAAAGTATTGAAACAGGATGGGAAATATTTTACACAGGTAGGCTACTCAAGTTTTTTTTTTCCTCCTAAGACTCCGAATAAGAATTTTATATTTTGAAGGTTGAATGTGTATTATCAAAATTTATTTCTTTTAATGATAGAACAACGTCACTGGGTGATATTTTTTCAAGTAGTAAGTTTCTAAATTCCTGACCTGTCATCTCTTGAGAATTAATCAGTTCATAGCAACACTCAAGATTTATCCTTATTTGTCAACCCTAGTCTTTGGCTGTAGTATGAACTGCTGCCACCAGATGGAGACACAGATTGTGGTTCTTTTTTTCCCTCTCCCCTCATCCTGTAGGACAGTTTTGGTTGAAAAGCCCATTTAGCAACATACACTTAATAATAGCTTTGCCTGTAGTATGAGCTGCTGCCACCAGATGGAAGCAAACTGTGGTGTTTTTCTCATTCTCTAGTGAATTTTTAATTCTCAATGAACGTTGAAGGTATATCTATCTATCTATCTATCTATATACACACACACACACACACATACATACATACACATATACATATACACACAGAGAACCTAGTATTGCACTCTTGTCTCTGGCTTCTTCTGGGTTTACAGGAAAAAAATCCCCACTACCCTGACTTTTGTTTATACTGACATAAGAGGTTTACTATTTAAAGCATAAACACTATCATAAACAGTATTTCATATTCTACCATATATCCACAGTCCTAATCACATGACTCTGTATATGTAAACAACTTTACAAAGTAATAATATATTGTATTTAGATCTTGGGAACTCATTTCACTAAAAAATATGTACTTTATTTGTTAAGTCATATGTGCTAGTTTTTAATTAAAATTTTAAATTGTTTAAAAGACATAAACCTATAAAAATTGTTATATTAATGAGGTACCAGGTGGTGTTTCAGTACATGAATATAGATGGGATAATGTTTTAATCAGTAAGTATTTTTGTGTCCTCAAATGTTTCTTATTTTTTTGTGGTAAAGACCATTCTGAATCCTTTACTTCTAGCTTTTTAGAATGTGTAGTATAGTTTTGTTATCCATAGTCACCATTTTATGCAGTAGCATACCAGAATTTCTTGCTCCAATCTTACTGTTAACTTTGTACCCATTGATCAATGGCTTTAAAAAAAAGGTTAATATGTTTCACCATCGATAACAGATAGAGGTCTATATTTTCCTGGGAAGGTTCCTACCTCCAGACCCTACCCAACCCTGGACTTTTTATGGGATCTGAGATGAATAATATAACTTTGAAACACCTCAACTCAGACTCTAGCCTATTCTGTTTTCTCGCACTTCCCACTGTGTGCAGTGCTTACAGGCATGTAGTGATTCATCCTGTCTCTGCACTTGGTGAAAGAGTTGCAAAGCTTTGAGGCGAGTATATAACTACCTATAAGTGGATAATTTATCTCCTGATATTTAGAAGTGATTTTTTAACACATTCTAAATTTGATTCTATTTAGAGTAAGGGTCTGAAAACTATGGCCTTCTGCTGCTTTTGTAGTTTTCTTGGCACACAGTCATGCCCATTCATTACATAGTGTCTATGGCTGCTTCTGTGCTACAATGGCAGCAAGGAGTAATTGTGGGGGTGGCCTTATGGTCTGCATAGCCTAAAATATTTTCTGTATGGCTATTTACAGAGGAAGTTTGCTGACCTCTGTTTTATAGGATATCTACAGTGAAAGCTGCTCAAAGACTTCTTATTATAAAAGCAACCCAGATTCAGTGAATTGGGCATTTTTGTGAGTGGAATTTCTTAAGCAGGGCATATTTGTACCATTTTTTCTTTCATGGTTCTGCAAATAGAATGCTCATGCAGGTTTAAGTTAAAGAAAGATGTTTAACTAAAACCAGACCCCCCCCCCCCAAAAAAAAAAAAGCCAGGTGGCATGGCATACATCAGTAATGGGTGAGGCAAGAGGATTGCAAATTTAAGGCCTGTGATCATAGCAACTTGGGAGGCTGAGGCAGGAGGATCACAAGTCTGAGGCACCTTAGTGAGATCCTGTCTCAAAATGGCAAAAAGAAAAATTTTTTTATGGAGATTGAAAAAAAAATGGATCCCCACAGTCAGTTTATAATAGATAACAGGTGGTGTTGGAAAGGAAATGTGACTGTTTTCTTCATCCTGAACATTTGACTGGTAGACTGACTCCTATAGAGAACTGGTATCTTAGTATGGGAGACTAATAGAAATGCTTAATTAGAATACCAGTCCAGTCATAAATATTTATTATCCAGGCTTTGATAACTTGCCTTGGCCAATTGACTTATTTCAAAAATCACAGGTATTATGTGCTCAGGGGTTTGCTGTTTTGCAAGAATTTTCCAGAAGATATATTACAACATGTTTTCTGTCTCTATGTTTATTATAGTTGGAAATACAAAGTGATCTCGTTTTGTGATATCCATTTTGGGGAACATGGAGTAAATCCAGTAGTGAAATGTGCCATATCCTGAGATTCATATGGAATGAAGTGTGCAGGCCTTTCAGGAAGCTGAAGACTAGTCAAGAAGCAGGGTAGCCTAATTGAGGATATATTGATATACTTACCAGTGAAGGCTTTTGTTTGTTTATTTGTTTTGGTGCTGGGAATGGAACCCAGGGCTTCATGCCTCATGCATGTTAGGCAAGCCTATACCCTCAGCCCTTGATTTTTCTTTAAACTGCAGAGTGATATGCTTGGGCAATACCCTTAATTTATTGCTATGCTTACTCTGCTTGCTGAAGTGTGCAGCTTAGAACTGGAGTGTAAGTTTAAGGATGGGATAAAAGTGCTGTATAGGTTGTATAGTGATTCACAAAAGCTAAATGTTCTTGCCCAGAATGGCTTGTATCACATTGAAAGTTTGTGATGTCACCTTACTGCTTGAAGGCAGCCTTAGTAGCATGCCATGAAGCTGGGGAATGTTTTGTGGGAATTGAGCTGTTCCAGGTGGGGCTGTCAGAAGTAAAATTGTAGAGGAATTGTTCTCATGGGATTAGGAGGAAGGTTCTGGGACTTGAACACATGCCTTCTTTCCCCTAACCCTATTTTTAAAATGATAGGCTATTTGATGCATAAAAAATAAGTGTAAAATTATGCTGTGTGAAATAATAGCAGACACCTGACCACTCTACCCAACTTGAACTGGGCATTACCAGTACTCTTTATGCAAACTATATTCCTGCCTAATACTTGCTGCTTTTGGAAGTAATCCATACTTAGTATCATTTTTAAAAATTTCTTATATTTTCTTTATAGATGGTTCACATACTTGTAATTTCCTATATAACTTAGTTTTGCTTGCTTTTGAACCTGATTTTAAAAGGCATGTCAAGGATGTGTTCTTCAGTTTTCTTTTTATACATTACAGAAATAACATATACTAGGGCTGGGGTTATGGCTCAAGCAGTAGCACGCTCGCCTGGCATGCGCGGGGTGCTGGGTTCGATCCTCAACACCACATAAAAATAAAATAAAGATATTGTGTCCACCTAAAACTAAAAAATAAATATTTTTTTTTAATATTTTATTTTTTAGTTTTTGGCGGATACAACATCGTTGTTTGTATGTGGTGCTGAGGATCGAACCCGGGTCGCACGCATGCCAAGCTAGCGCGTTACCACTTGAGCCACATCCCAACCCCCTAAAAAATAAATATTAAAAAAGAAATAATATATATTAATTAACTTACCTTTAAAAGGTACAAACAATACAGAAATCTATAAAATAAAAAAGTAAATTGTCACATGTAACATGGGACAAGCAGCCGAAGCTATAGAATTGAAGTTTAACCCCTAGTTATGTTCCTACCTATTGTCTCATCTCTTTCTCTCATCCTTAAGGGGCATTTGTTTTTTTGCTATTTTTGGTTTCCATTCTGCATGCCCTGTGTGTCTTAAAAATAAAAGAAAAAGTGTTCTATTTAAGTAGACAGCAAAGTAAAATGTGTATCATGTTATTTTCGGGGGTAGGTTTCTATTTGTGGAGAGTTTCTTTTTTTTCCTTCTTAAAAATTGCTTCTTGGCAGTGTTGGGAAAGAACAAATTGAAGCTTTCCCATTTCCTTTCCACATTCTGTATAAGGAGGTCCTCCCATGTGTCCTCTCTAAAGGGAGAGTGTGGTGTCAGTTTTAAGATGGAAAAGAAAACCCTTCAGCTGTGCACCTTGGTGGCATTTCCATTCTATAGCAGCTTCCCTAGTGGTGATGTGCTCTAAAAACAACTGGTAGCATTTTCTATTTATGAGTCGTAAATTACACGTGTGGTGTTTATACGCTCTCATGGTGAACTTGATGTTGAAACCAAATTATATGCTGGTGAAGGACACTTTGGCCAAATCCCACTGCATGACCCTAGATGATGTGTTATTAAACAGGCTGGCACTGAATGGCAACGTCATGCTGAGTGAATGTGCTAAGTTAAAACCACCAAGTCCAGCTCTTGGAATAGTTCTAACCTTTTGTCCACGGCTGACTGGCTGGCTAGCTGGTTGGTTTTGAAATGCCATTCTCAGAAATTCTCACATTATGGGTGCCTTTGTTTGTATATTATTTTGCCTTACATCGTACTTGGCTATTTTGAGGCAAATCAATAGTATAATTCTTGTGAAGAAGAAATGGAGTTAATATACAGATTCAGTGGTATTCTGAATGTTAAGAACTTCAATGGTTAAAAAATTGTAGGTGATATTAAATATACCCATCTTGTTTTCTAAATCCAAAGTGAAAATCACTGGGCGGAGAGTGGTGATGATTTTGCTGTAATGATGATAAACCATATCCTAGAACTAGTGAATCAAAATCTGCATTTTAACAGAATCCCCTTTGGTTTATGTGCACATTAAAGATTGCAAAGCACTGCTCTTGAGGTAGGCAGATTTAGTCATTGATTCTCTTCACCCTTTTTCCTTCGTGAACATAGGATGGCTACTGCAGCCCCAAATGTCACATCCAGGTTATAGACTGGAAGAGAGTTGAAGTGGCAGATCACTCCCTCTATGTTTAGAATCTAAAGTTTTCCTAGCAGACTTCCACTATCTATCTCATTGACCATCCCTAGCTGCTAGGGAGACTGAAAAAGTGGTGACCAAAAAGGGAAGAAAAGTTATGACAATGAAGAAAGTTTTTGATAAAGAGTGCAATCAAGGGGGAAGATATCCTTAGCATATATCCTGAATAAACTTTTGTTGTCATATGCTTTAAGATAAATCACAGATTTTGGGGAAAGAAGCATGAACTGTGAATGTAGTTCCTTGTCAACATTTTAGATTCTTAGTGTTGTAGTTTAAACCAGTTGGAAAGCAAGAACACTGTCTTTTTTAATACTTCATTTTCTACACAGTGGTGACCATTATTGAAAAAAATTACTTTGAATGAGTTATGTGTATGAATCTTTGCTAAATTGCATGGTGCAGATACAGTGAACTGTGTCACTAATGAGAAATTGGTCTCACTGCTTTCTATTACTTCATACTCTAATAATTTGAAATAGCTTGGTAAATGAAGTAGAAGGAGAATGAGCTAATAAGTCTATAAATAGAATCCTGTGCAATTTGTGAAAGTACAGAGGCCTTATCTCATTTTTAAAGATGAACTTTTATCTCAGGCTAGAATTCTTCTCTTTTATTAGAGACATTCTAATGACTGGGACTCAAGAATCCCATTGTTTGCTTTTCTCTCTTTGATTTAGGGGAACTGTGTTAATTTGACTGAAGCCTTGTCACTCTATGAAGAACAGCTCGGGCGCCTCTATTGTCCTGTGGAATTCTCAAAGGAGATCGTCTGTGTCCCTTCATACTTGGAATTGTATCCTTTGATTGTGACATTGTGTTGTCAGATCAGAACCCCCAAGTCAATCCTGTGCTAGTTTAGTATTTTAAATCCTAGTAATAAACAAATAGATCTGTGGTATATAAACTAAGCTGAGAGCTTTAAAAAAAACTGATTTCTGGGTCATTCTTTTAGAGACTCTTGGGTGTGGCTTGCCACAGTTTGCCAGGTGCTTTTAATTATCAAGTACCACTGGTCCAAAAAAGGTTTTTCAAAGGTGGTCCCAGACCTGCCACGTCACTTGGGAACTTGTTATATATACAGATTATCATACCCCACCCTGACCAGCTGCCCCATCAGAAGTGCTGGAGCTGGGGCCAGCGAACTGTTTCACCAGTCCTCCAGGGAACTTGTGTGCACCCATAATGCTCTAGTGTAAAATGCTGCCCCACCTGTGGCAGATAAAAATCCTAGAGACACTCACTTTACTCATATTAAAATCATCAGTCTTTAATGTTAGTTTCTACACTTGCTGCTAATTGCAGTAGAAATCGAGAGCTGAAATAATGCTGGGAGTGCAGAGTTAATGCTGGTGTTCTCCATGAGTTCCACTTAAGTTAGTCCCAATCACAAAGGAAAGAACATGGAGAGAAACCAAAATTAGAGCATCATTGTTGGAAATTTGCGCTGTATTTCCTTTTTCTAAAAAGTAGGCAGACTATGGCTGAACCTAGGTTCCTGTGACAGCAGTTTTTTTTATATGATTAAAAAATTAAGTGATTAAGGATTCATTCTTTTTTTTTTTTAAAGAGAGGGGGGGAGAGAGAGAGAGATTTTTAACATTTATTTTTTAGTTATTGGTGAACACAACATCTTTGTATGTGGTGCTGAGGATGGAACCCAGGCCACACGCATGCCAGGCGAGCGCGCTACCGCTTGAGCCACATCCCCAGCCCAGGATTCATTCTTTTTAAAATTCTTTTTATTTATACATGACAGTAGAGTCCACTTTGATATAATTATACAAGCATGGACTATATGTTATTCTAATTAGGACCCCATTCTGTAGAGGTACACGATGGTGGGATTCACTATGGTGTATTCATATATGTACATAGGAAAATTATGTCATTCATTCAGGGATTCCCGCTGTCAGCCTGTGGTAAGGCTGGAAGTGACAGAACCTGGCAGAGCATAGGCAGCCTGCTGAGGCCAGATGCTGGGCAAGAGGCAAGAATTCCCTAAGTCCTCCATGAGAGGAGGGGGATCCTCTCATTTGTGAGGCGGCCATGTCCTTCCATGGCCTGTAGAAAGATTCAGTGTCTCCTACCATTCAGCTTGATTCAGGGTTTCCCTTCAGGAACATTTTTCATTCAATCTTTTTAGTTGTACATAACATTAGGATTCATTTTTTTACATAATTATAAGGGTATGGACTATCATTTGCTACAGGAACATTTTTGTTCATTCAGGTGAGTGTTCACATGCTTAAGACATTTGAGATGTCAGTTGGTAACATTTGGGAAAAGGTTTCAGTCCTATGGTTCCCCTTTTCCCCTCTTTCTACCCCTTTTTTCCCCTCTCCCCTTGCTCACCCTCTCTCTGCCTTCCTCACTTCCTCACTCTTTCCTCTCCTTTCCTTTCCTTCTCATACCAATTCCCCAAACCTTTTGTGAGACCTGGTAAGCAGTAGTGATACCCAGGAGCATCTGTGCATTTCTTTAGCCTTTTGTCTACTTAGTGCTCCCTTCAGAAATCTCACACTTTAGAGTGGCCTTGTTCAAAGGCTTTCATTCTCATTATCACAATGCTCTAAGCCATGAAGTGTTTTCATTCATCTTCCAATTTGTAGGCCAACACACAAATGTTAAGTGATGCCTGTTCCTCCTTGAATTACCTGCTTGCATTCCTTGACTCTCAGTCCAGGTGGGTATTTTACACTGTTTGGAAGAAAGCTAAACCTTGAAGATGAATATCCCCCAATCATGTGTGCTGCAAACAGCTTTCCTGACCTCTGAATGCTGTACATGACATTAAAAAGAGTCGGGCAATTGATTGTGAACTCCTTAAAGTTTCTCTTCTTTTAATTATTATTTTTAATTTAAAAAAGCAAATGGAAAATGTATATTTTGATGAGCTAGGGTGTTATTTTTGGAAAGTCAGCTGAAGGGCAATTAGATAGTACAGCAAAGACTGCGAAGTGCACTGACCCCTTAGAATGTGATTTTTGTTACTTTTTAGTTCTGTGTGGGTTTTTTTTTTTTTTTTGTTTCGGTTTTGGTAGACCTAAATTTGGATGTTTGGAGGAATGAACATCATTTTTTTGTTCTGGAGGGAAGTTCTTGGTTTGATTTCTTTCCCCCAAAATGGATTTAGATATCAAAATTTGGTGCTTATAAGAAAGTTAAAAAATGAATAGCAATGCTTCAATTAAAATAACAAAGGAGACATTTCATGTGTTTTGTTGTTGTTGTTTTTTTTTTTTTTTTTTTTCCAGCCCAGTCCCCTCTTCCTCCCTCTGGCTTAGAACAAAGGTATCTCCTGGACTGTTTTTACTTTGTTATAGCACTTGGTACCATTTATCTCTTTATAATGGGATAGCCTTGGGGCCTTTCTTGAACAGTAATAATGACTTCATTTAGCACTGTGGTAAATGATACACAGCCCATTACATTCACCACTTCCTTCTTATAAAGTTGACCTGAGGATAGCAAGAAATTTTGCTTGACTGTAAAGTTGAAAGTCAAAAGCCTAAAGCCTATTTCTATCCCCACTCTTACTGGTATATTAAGTGTAGAAATGAGATCATTTAGGATAGCTGCTATGAAACTTTGAGAAGATTCTTAGATGCACAGCTACATGATAGAGTTTATGGAGAGGCCTGTGGCAAAAGGAATGACTTAAAAACTACTAAGAAAGTGCACATAACTTAGAGCTTGCTTTTGTATTCTGGGTAAAGGGGAATTTATAGTGACTTGGATTATTAGATGGCAATGGTAATCCTGTTGTATTATAAAAATTTATACTAATCAGTGGAATCATTTCATTTACAGTGAATTTATAGTAAGCAAAACATTAAAAATGAAATATCCAGTTGAGATATAATTAGTGTCACCATAGAACATTCTCCCCAAGGTATGACTAAATGGTATAGTATATTAAAAATGTTCTTTTTTATTGGATTGAGGAGGAACAATACGGTAGAATAAAAGGAGTTAGAGAGTCACATTGAAACTTGATAAGCTGAACACATACTTTTCTTGTACACATATAGGTTAAAAATGGAACTGGTGGACGTCTTCCTGTGCCTTTAAATTCTTCTATAGTGCTATGCAAAGGCTCTGTATGTTGGGTAGGATTTTAAAATGATGCTGCTGCTACTGTTAGAACACTGTTTGAGGTCAATAAAATGGAGGTGTTTTTTCTTTCCATTTTAGAAAAGAAACCAAATGTATCTGCTATTTGATATGATATGATTAGAGTGTGCATTACTAACACAGGACTAACTTGATTCCAAGGCAGCAGATCCACTAATAAGTCTGGTGATACAGGTCCTGTTAAGAACTGAGACAGGAAGAAATTAAGTGGATCAGGTTGTGCCAGATCACGGGATGATGCATTTGGGAGAAAATAAGGGAAGTGGTATGAGGGGGAAGAAAGAAATGGAAAGATAGATATTTTTATCTTTGGTGATAATATTGAATTCTGATCCAACCCATTTCTTTGTGTTGGAGAAAGGATGATGTCTGATTATTTTGAATGTCTTTGTTGTTATTTTAAAACAAAAGCATGCAAACTGAATAATGACAACTAAATTCACCTTGGCTTTTGCTGCCTTTTAAGGAAATGTTAAATGATCTAGCACTGTTATCTTATTTTAATGGCTACAGTGTTATATAGTGTTAAGGTCTCCTTTAGAATATACTGTTGTATCCTGTAGCTGCTTTTTTAATGAAAGACAAGACTAACATGGCTATAGTTTAAATTCTATTCAACACATCACCAGATATCAAGTATTGATTTATTTAAAAAATGAAATGCTGCTTTCTCTTGGAAATGTGATTGAATATTTATAAAACTTGATTAATGATCATCCAATTGGGCTGGTAGAAGGCTGGATTGAAGGTGTTTTTAATGGGCTGAAGCACTGTTGATGTCAAAATAAAATGTTCTGTTCCTTTCTGTGCAGTTTGAGTAAGTCACGTCCTTGCTTGCATTAACTGTTGCTGACACAAGAGTTTGCATTTCTCTCTACCATCTGTCAATAAATTAATCAGTTGCATTTTGTTCCCTTGACTCTTTAAAGAGGGCAGGGAGTTGTGTGTGTGGGGGTGTTGTGTCCTATGTACATTGGCCTTTGTTTGAGGCATCAGAGCAATGCTACCCAAAGTCTGGTCCATCAACCAACTCTTTGATTTCTAAGTGCTTTATTTCAGCTGACCTTTTTTTCCTTATGGTGAGATTTTCTCAGAGAGGGTAACACTAGTGTACTGATTTTCATAGTGGCACAAGTTGCTTTTTGTGGTGTTGGAGATTGAACCTGGGGCCTTGTATATACTAGGCAAGTGCTCTACCACTGGGCTACATCCCCAGCCCTTTTTATTTTGTATTTTTAGACAGGGTCTCACTAAGTTGCCCAGGTTGGCTTGGAACTTGAACTTGGGATCCTTCTACCTCAGCCTCCCAAGCAGATAGGATTATAGAGGGACACCACCATGGCTGACATGTTACCATATATTCTTGAAACAACATTTTAAGTGTGCACTGTTTCAGAGGCTGGTTGGGCTGTATTATTTGATAGGTGTGTATCAGATAGGAACTGTTATGTGACCTTGAAGAAACACTTGACCCCCTTCAATCACCCTGTTGCCCACCCTATTGCTAAGTGTCTTTGTAGCAAATAATCTCTAACATCGTTGTGCCTTTGGTTAATGAACCAATTCATTTATGTTTTCTTGCCCAGTCATTGAGTAGGCTAGCAGTCCAAGTGTGGAATGTGCCTGAGGGTCCCATGGTAGTCACAATTTAAATCTAGGTTGTAGCATTCTCAATTTCTAACATGGAAGCTTCCATCAAGGGTTCTTAACCTTTTTTTGTACCTTGGGCTCCTTCTGGAGCTGCCTGGCAAAACCTGAGAGTTCCTTCTTAGAAACAAGTTTTAAAACATATTACATAGGATTACAAGAAAATGAGTTATTAGTTTTAAAAAACTTATGGCTTAATATTTGGGCTGCTTTATTAACTTTTTACATAGCTGAATTGAGTGGTGGGTCAAGTTCCATAATTTTGAAGTTGTAATAAGCATAAATATTTATAAAATCCGTAGGAACTAAAATGTGATAAGGCATCTGATTCTTCTCGTTGACAAAGTCATGGTTATTACCTGTGTTCATGCTTAAGATAAATGCTAAATTTCAGTGAGAGGTTAGTGAAGAGAAAGATAAAAATGTTGTCCCCTCTAAGTTTTTGGATGTACAGAATTCTGTCCATACCCCAGGTTAAGAACCTTTAACCTTTATGCTTCTACTGTTTGATTGGATTTGGGTGGTGAGGAAAGTAGTTGAGTCCCTTCTCCCCTCTGTCAGAACCTCAAATTAACTCTGGCAGGTCAGTTCTCCTCAGCCAGAACCATTTAAAATCTCAATTACCTGGTGCAGTCATTCCACTGATTTCTGTTTTACTCATTATTTCAAAAATGAGAAATAGAACATGAGCAAGAAATATCCCAGTGCTTTTGGAAAGCTGTTTGAGTACTCTTGGATGTGATTTCCCTGGGAAATCAGATGATTAATGTGACTAGACAGGTATACTTATCTCTTGTATCTGGGGGTCCCGGGGATGCTCAGGCTGGCTCATTAATGTAGACAGTTTTCCTGTGCAACAACCAACCATGTGATCATTTCAGTAAGCAATTCCTTCATGATGAAGCATTAGGGAATAGGCTCTTCTCTGCAACTTTGTAACAGAATAAATGAATCAGGGTCCCTCCTGTGTAAAGAGGCAGGTTGAACAATCCTGTTTTGAAAGCAGACCTCCAGTATCCAAGAGAGGGAGGTTTGGGTGGTCTCTTCACCCTATTTCCCCAAAGATGGAATATCCACCATAGTAAAGACATGCAAGGGGCAGGTCTCTGCAGACATTGACTTTGACCCTAGAGTTAACCTTATTAGAGATCATTTCTAGTTCTACCTATTAGGAAATCCTTGTGTCTTGACTTTGTTCTAAAATCATTTTATATCTTGGTTAATGATGGTGGTAACTTACATTCATGCCAAGTGATGCTGACTAAACATACAACTCTGTATATATTTCATATCATTTACTTTCTAGATATTCTCCCTTGCCCTGCTCTCTGTTTTTGTCTGGGTTTAATTTGCTACCTGAACTTTTCCTCCATCTATCCTCTCAATGCTAAGAGGAGCTGTCAACATATCTCCTGCATTGGCTGTACCTTTCACACTCAGTGTTTCGATTTTTCTCCAGTCTTATTATATAATCTTCACCCCATATCTCTTTATGTCTGTTGAAGTGTTTCATGCCTGCAGAGATGGTGCATCTTGGTAGAAAGGAAGAGACATTTGGATTTTGGTTCAGAGGTGAAATGATTGGATTGTGAGAGCTGTAACCTCATTAGTAGATCAATCCATTTGATGGATTAATAATTTGAATGGACTGCTGGGTGGTAACTGTAGGCAGGTGGGGCATGACTAGAGGAAGAAGGTTATTTGGGGTATGCCTTTGGGGGTTATGTTTTGTCCCTGGCTACCCAGGCTTGTGTTCTGCTTCCTGGCTTCCATGAATTGAGAAGCTTTCCTCTGTCATACCTTTCTTCATGATATTCTGCCCCATCTTGGTCCCAGAGCAATGGAGTTAGCCAACAATGGACTGAACCTCTGAAACAGCCCCAAATAAGCATTTCCTCCTCTAAGTTGTTGTTGTCAGGTATTTTGGTCATAATGATAAGAAACTGAATAACACACCAGGTGACCAGAATCAACATATCCAAGGGACAAGTGGATATCCTGTGCCTCCAAATGTGATAGTTTGAGAAGGATCTGTCACCTCTTATGCAGTGTTTAGCTAAGAATCCATTACCTGAACCCAGCTATGAGGAAACTTTAGACATCAGATGAGAAACAGTCTATTAAGAAAAAGTCCCAGTGCGCTCTTCAAAGATATGTGTGTTGCTGGGGATTAAACCAAAAAGAATGTGAAAAATTCTCAGATTAAAGGAGACTAAAGAGGCATGACAAGTGTCACACCTGATCCTAAACTAAGTCCTATATTGGAGGGGAGAATGCTGTAAAGGACACTTTCATGAGACTATTGTCAACTGGCAAATTAGAATACAGACAGTAGTCTCAATTTAATACAGGTTTTTTGGGTCTGGGGTTGTGGCTCAGTGGTAAAGCGCTTACCTAGCACGTGTGAGGCACTGGGTTTTATTCTT